ATATCTTTGCAATAAATCACAGCCAATGCCAACATATGTCTGAAACTTATTACAGCAGCAACAGTTGCCCCAAGCTTATTTAGGTAGAAAACTTATTGTAAGTAATTATTCCCTATGTATTATTCTAAGCATTTTAAAAACTCTTTAACTTGACAATTCAGTTCAAGGGCATGAAGCAGCTACAATATGTAACCTTTTCTCATTTTGACTCTTTACTGATGTTCACTAGAGAAAAAACAGTTGGAAAATTTTACAGAAACCTTCGATCACATAGTACATGTTTATTAGACACAAATATCAATTAGAAGCTTCTTCAAATTTCAGATGAAAAAACATGTGTTTCAGCTTCCTTCTTTCACTCTACTGTTCATAATAACAATGTTCATTGACTTTCACTGCTTCTTTAATTTTTGCCTTTTCGGATGATGGAGGATGCATGGATGTGAATTGTTACTTTTACAAGCCAGTCAAAAACTACCTTAGAAGTTCTAAATTAAAACTGATCAAAACAAGTTCTATGTTTCAAAAGTATTTATTATTCTTGGATGATTTGTCAAGTAAAAATTAAAAAAGAAAACAACATATTTAATTTGTCGATAAAACCTTTTATATCTTTGCTGATGAACACAAAAAAACAATCTTTAAATCTCAAGTTTTAAACAATGTATCTGCGAAGACAATAAATAATTTTTTCCTAAACAGAAAAAGAATTGTTAACTTAAAGCTTATTTTATTTCCTTTAAATGGCCCTTTTAGAAACTGCTTGAGTCGCTCCCAACAGTACCATTCATCTTTGCTACATTTAGCTTTACTTTTTTAACTATTTTAATCTTTACTTGGAAAGTTCTAGTAATCCATCCAAGTCAAAGCTTAATTTTTATAATGGAAAAGACCAATATTATCCTAGTTTGTTGACATTTTAAGTCCTAAATAAGACCTTCACTGATCTACTGTATTGCTTACAATAAGAGAGAAACCCCCAACTCAAAGTGGTAAATCTAACATAACATTTTTATTATTTGCTACATTCACTTCTTCAAATATGTGAAATGCACACATCTACGTATGTATTTACCAATAATTTACCGAAATATAAGTCAACCTCAAATATAGCATGAACCCCTAATTTTGAAGAGCGTCCTGAGAACTTGAAAATTGTTTAACTAATTCATTACTATTAGTGGAAAATAAAATTCCAAAGGCTCTTCGACTAAAAAATTGCCTCATAAATAATGATGCAGAATTGTTAAGTGTTATTGCTGAATTATTTACTTTCCTTTCAATCATAAATTTCATGGTTTTTGTCACTATTCCTGTCATTTTACAGTATCAATGTTTCTTTCTTTTGACGTCCTCCTTCCATGCTGGTGACATTTCAGACTTTTTAGCATCCTCTTGGAAAGTTATTCATGGGCCTCCTGTTTCTGTTCAAAACGCAGATTCTGGGCATTCGGCGAGCGTTGAACTGAGATTCCGCACGGCCTGGTTGTAACCCGCCATCATGTAACAAACTCTCCCAGCTTTCATTCTCACATTACGCTTTCATTTGATGCCAATGAATTTCTCTTCGGTGACAACCTTCTTACAAAGAACTTTATAACTGGTCAGTACTCAATTTCCTACCATTGTCATTAAAATGTGTGGTTTGAAACAACTACCTCAGCCCAACCAGCTGGATGCGAACAACTTCAGTTTTTCATGGCGCCGCCTTCTAAAAGATATACCCACCAAACAATCTCTTTGAGTAGTGTTACTATTTAGGGTGGAATGGCTCAAGATCTTCTCTGCTAGATATTGCCAACCTACCTGCAACAATATTGTCTAAAGGCCCATTCACACATTACAGTTCCAACTCCTTTACGTATAGCTTTTGTTTGTTTGTTTTTTCTCCAGAATCTATTTAATATTTTTCTCTTTTTTCATTTTGAATTAAACAAATGTCAATGAAAAATATTTGATCATCTTTTGTTTTCCAATTATATCTTGAAGTGCAGACTTCCCATATTGCTTTATTTTTTTTGCATTTTTAAGTTATCCAGTATTTTTGCCCTCTGTTCTTTTGCTTCCTCTTATTACTGAATAACAAACACTGCTCTTTGTGTGATATATGCTACAAAGCAGCTTCATCTGTGTGTCATAGTTTTTAAAAGTAAGCTAAAGGGGTTTGCGGGCACACCACCTTTTCAGAGGCAGCTTGATTACAGGCAACAAATAATAAAGGAATGCCGTTCAAGATACTGGCTAAATATGTGGCAAGCCAGAAAAGCAAAAAAAATCTTTTTAAGTCCTCGCATAATTTCATGTTTTCTTGTATAGACCCACCAAATTCTCCACCACCAAACTGACTGCATTTCAAACCCCAAATGTTGAAATAGGAGAACCAATTGAGCTTCCACTAATGTCCCTTTTGATTAAGCATAATCTACAAACTTCTCCACCTGCCCCAAAGCAGCACGCAGGGGCCACCAGATTCTTGCTGTGCAGTGCCACACGACTCAGAGATTAGCAAAATAGTCTTCGATTGCCTCCCCTGCCAGCGGCGTCTCCTGCACCTAAGTCCGATCCAAGATGAGTCTTGTTATAAGTCTAGTATCCATCCGTGATTTGCAATCAAGTCAGAATTCTCATGTAACAGTGCGACCCTGCTGCTTCTGATAACAAAAACCAATCGCCGACATTGTATCACTCTCAACTGTCTCTGTAATTTCGAAATCTGCAGCTTTAGTAGACACGACGATTAGCGCCCCAAGCAATTTCTGCAATGCCTAGCCATAGAAAGAAGGCTGGGCAGAGACGCTATTTCATTGGCTTGCCGATAAACTCACTTCCAGCAACCACTCTTTGTTACTATGCCTTCTCTCAGCTACTTCCTTTTGCATCTGTAAATTGCTGGTACAAATTGTTTACACTCGGTAGCGCACGAGAACCTAAACCAGTAAACACAATCAGGCAAAACTATAGTAAGTATTATGTCAAGATGTTGCCATCAACAATATAAGTGAGGATGATTGAGAAAGTTAAAAATTATTTCTTGGAAAGCAGAAGGACAACCAAAAGTTATACTCTTGGAGTTACCAAGCACATAACATTTCAGAGATATATTTACCCCAGTGTGATCTAACAAGGTGACGAGTTCAAGTGGCCGCTTCTCTGGAAACTTTCTTCTGACAAGAAAGGACAGCTTCAAAAAAACGCCATTCCTTTAGAAACGGCATGCGTTTGTGACAGCCGACAATCATGCCCTGCTGCAAAGTTTCCTTGCGAGCAAAAACGCGCAACAACAGCAATACATGGTTGAATTCCAACAGTGTGCCTTCGCCGCGCTAAATGACCCATACAAATAAGCCATCTTCCAAATGACTTTAATCGCACAATATCACAGATATATGGTGGCCCCAGGAAGATACATTGTGCCTAAGGATGACTCGTGCAGTTTACAGAAAGACGTGAGGTCATTGCGTCGCGTAATATTTTTAGCCTACATGCGTGCTTCCTGTGTTTGTAGTTGTTTGAATTACATATTCCACTTATTATACTACATACATTTTGACCTGTAAATTATAGATGGCGGAGGAAAGAAATGAGAATTTGTATTAGAAGATATTGGCAATAAATATGATGAAGAAAAAAATTCTGATTGTGAATCGGAAGATAAATTGTACAGAAAGGTCTGTAAATTGAAATAATAACACCAAAGTAGGCAAAGAAGAGATAAATCATTATCACATTGTGGGAGACACTTATTTGTTACAGATATGCAAACATGATACATATACGAACGATGGAAATATTTTCTCATCTTGAAAATAGTGGCAATGAACAGGAGAGTAATTTATTTAGGAAATGGCTAACAATACCCTTATCAATAAGAATACTAAAATAAATAACTTGTTTTGAAGTCAAAAAAGTATATTTCCAAGAATGTAATTCTTATGTTTACGCAAAAATGCACAATTTTTTAAAAAAGTTGGTGTAATGTAAGTAACTCTATTGGTTAAGAATAAGGCAGGAAACAATTATGACTCTTTGTTGAGAATTGATTTTAGTATTGACCTGTTTTCTTGTTCTACATCAGTATGTAAAATAAGTCATCTCAAAAATATACTGTATATACTGACATTTGTTTCTCATCAAACACCCTCCCAACACTTTCTTAGACAATGTAAAAATCTAACAAACTGTTAATACATCAATGAACACTGCTTTTTAAAATGTGTCCAAATAATGTAATATGAGAGTTCAATGAATAGTCGCTCTTGTATTGCTACATAGGAACCTATAACCAAGTAGTAAATATGAGTAAATATGCCAGCAATTCAATTAGTTTGTATGGTAATAAGGTGACAAGTGGTAATTAACTGACTGATAAGCAGTGTTTTGAAGGGCTTGTTATTAGGTCATTTTATGAAACCAGGAATTTATTGAAATGGTGTGTTGCAATATGGTATGGATCTTCAATTGTTGAGGACTAGTACAGTGAATCTTCTTTATAATGTTCCTCCATTTGTACTGTTTTCTGCAGTGTTACATCAATTTTTTCCTGTCCCGACCAAAAGCCCATATACACAGTTTTCCACTTAATAGTGTTTTCCACTATTCAGCGTTCAGACTTCATAGTCCCTTAAAAAATATTATATAGAGGTTTCACTGTAGTATGAATTAGCTCTCTAGTAGAATGTACTCTATGTTATAATCCCTATCCCTGGACTGTCATATTAAAAAAAAACAAAAAACAAAAAACAAAAAAAAAAAAACTTCTATTACTCACCAGATACTGATTATGATTGTTTCTTAATAAAAGTAACAATTTAAAAGTGTAGAGCCTACTGTGATCAGTATTTCATGAAAGTGAAAATAGAAATCTATACAAAACTAACAGTTTGAATAGGCTTCAGAGACTTTTACAAAACCAAAGATCTACCAATATTTTTTTTGGCTCCTCATATTTCAATATTGTATGAAAATGAGAGTGGACTGTACTGTAAGAACTTGATAGAAATACATCTTTTGTAGGTGTCTGGTAAAGTATCTTAAGAGGAATATATTGGATCATATTTGATAAAAGTTTGTTCATGTATTTGATAAAAAGAAAACTTTTCCTTTTTATTTCAGTTATTAATTTCGGTCTAGTTGAATAGTCTTGTTACACAATGTGATTGTATAGCATATGAAAATATCTGTGTAGAGTACAGAAGACTGTGTTTCATCTCATTTAATCTTATCACATGTTGTATAAAATATTGAGCATTTTACCAAAATGTTTATTTTTCCATTAGGCTGGAAATGCTGATACTGCTGTATGTCCTGAATGCAATGAACCTTTCCGACAATTGTTGTTGTACCGACAACATGTTTATCGACACACACATCCCCTTTCATGTGCACATTGTCATCGTTCATTCCGGACATTGCAAGAAAGAGGTAAAAGCTGAAAGAAGAAAGATTCGATTATATCTTTATACAATTGATATAAATAATATTCTTTTTAATATCTTAGATTAACATGGTACCTAGCGTAAGATGATTTGTAATTTAAAGGTAATAGTTTTGAAGGTAAAGAGACACATTGCATTTGAATATTACGGGTGTGTTAGTTTAGTGTTGTCTAATTGTGATGTTTATTTCTTTAAATTTTTCTGTATTTACTGCAAAAATTACTTTTTTCAGTCTTGTACTATAATATTAAAATATTAATTAATTCAATTTTAAAAAAATATTAATAAATTATACATTTATTATGTACAAATTGCTACAAAAAATGAAAATATGTAAGGCTTGTCAGAAATTTCCTTGTCTATGCGTCCTTTTTTTACTCAAAAATCGTCCCCAATCAGGTGCAGCAGTGTCAACTAATGTGCTTTTCAGAAATTTTAATATATAACCTGAAAATAAGTAATTCATTTTTTTTACTGTATCATTTATGGAGTGTTGTTGCAAGTTAATGCAATTATTTAGGGGGGAGGGATCAAACATGTAATGCAGGTGCGTTACAATGGGGAGAAGGGGTATTCAAAGTACTCCAAATTTGTGATACATAATTTATGGTCTACACAATACATGATAGAACATAAGCAATAAAAAACCTTCATTGATAAATATTTGCTGTAATGTCCAATTAATCTCAGCAATGAATATGATTTACTTTAATGTACAATTGGCCTCACAATTTAAAGATTCAGTTTCATATTAACAGTTTTTCATACCTTTTTCGCGAGTGTCTTATTGTAATTTGATTATATTTCTGAGTTTTGCAATTTATATCATAAATTATTATGATTAGGTAAACATGTGTGCCTTGATCTCTTGGAACAATGCTGTCAATGTGGTCATCGATTTGGAACTGTGCCGCAGCTTGAGAGGCATGCATTGACACATGGAGTTCCCCATTACCATTGTTATGAATGTGGCCGTTCTTTCCATCTCATGGTAAGGGCTTTTGTGTCTAAATGGAAGTTATTTTTTGTTGTCATTCTCCTTTATTCTCATTTTTAATGAACTTGACATCAGTTTTAATATCAGTTTCTTTGGAAATGTTGTAGACTGATTTTAAACATCATCGCTGTTTTGAATTGGGCCTTAAATATCTACGTCGTGCTCCAAAGAAAGACAATCCATCTGTTACCTCTGTTGTTTCATCATCCTCTCTGAAAAGAAGTATGAATTCTAGTCAGCGTTCTCAGTCGGATGAGGTTCTTATGTGTGAAATTTGTGGTGAGGTTTATAAATCAAAGTGGGCCCTGAAAGCACATCATCTTTTGCATGGTGAGTTTATATTTATTTACTGCTATTATATTTTACATTCTGCTCGCATATTTTATATTTTTAGTAGTAACTATATTTATGGGGCAACAGATCAAAATATATTAGCTTCACAATTCATTTAAAATAAATTTTGAACCATTTTTTAAACTTTCTGTATGTGCGCCAAAGATATTTTTAAAATATTATTTGTAATGAACAAACAGTTTTCAAACAGATAAGATTCATACCATATGTTGCACCTAGGTAATTGTTTTGTTCTGTTGTCCCCTCATAAATTTTACTGAAATGTTTTAAAAAATATCATTTTTATCTTAACGTGGATGTTTTTAGGCTGTGGCATATTCTGGGATTTGTGCGAAGCCACCCCGAAAGTTGGCCTTATACACAATGATAGTATTGTAGTAAAGTAATGTCTTGGCATTCTCATTTTGGAAGTTTTTGACTTACCCGATTTTATTCACGCAAACCTGGCAATTGTGGTCCGTGACAACGTGTAGGCAACCCGCGGGACACTCATGTTTGACAGTGTGCCTTGCCTACATGCCCCTGATACTTCTGGCTCTGGAATTCTTGCTAGCATTTTAATTGCAATAGAGTATTTTTGTTGTATCATGTTTTGGAAGTTTAGTATTGTTAATAACTGTTCTTTGGCCAAAGTTGTTATTGAATGGCGTTATTTTCATTAAATTTCTGTTAAAATGAAATCAATGCCAAGAACCTCTCTTTGCCTTGTGCAGGCAGCCTCTCTTAGGTGACCGTCCCATGAGAATCATAGGTACTTGTTTCTGTTGCTCCTCCATTGAGTATTGAATATTACTGTACTTTGTTGTGTTTTAAAATTAATACTTTTTACTTTTCCACATACGTATGTATATCACTATACAGTATTTCAGTAATACTCTTTAAGTTTGCGGACATGCAGCTGTGCAGATGTGTGTTTTTGCCGTTCCGTCTCTGGCGTCTCTCCCACTTCCACTGGCCCACTCCCCCTCCCCCTCCCTCTAGCCCACGGGAAGTGCATCAATCGAGACGTGCGAGGTGTCATTCGACCCGTCTCGGTCTCTTAATGGAGAAATGATTATTTATTTTCGGGTCCCGCTTAACTTTTAAAATTGCAATAAGACCAGTTCATATTCCGTATGGAGGTAAAACACAAGGCTATTGGGTGTTGGGAACTTTTGAACGGTTATGCAGCTACCACCATTCATTGGTAAGTCCAATGCTAGATACTGAAAGAACATATTTAAACAAGCTGGGCATGAAAGGAATGAAGTATGAAGTAGATTTTCAACAGATGAAACTATTTTTAAAACATTGTACAGCGTCGCCGACGCCTTATTTTGCTAGTACGCAGTAATATACGTAGTATAGAGGAAGTTATGTAATACTGTGGAAAATCGGTTTCGAGATTTCGAAGAAAACACACGTTTTGGAGTTCCTTCATACCGAAAAAGTAGTTGTTTTTTTAAAGTCTGTCCGTCCGTCGGTCCGTGAACACTAGCGCCTAAATCATACGTACGATATTTTCCAAATTGAAGAAACCCGTGTCGATCTGGCTTGAGTCGAATCTTTGAGATTTTGAAACAAATTCTTTAAAATTTGGGGTACTTTACATTAAGCCCCCCAGACATTTTCAAAATTTTCTTAAAAACGGCACCAAATTTTTTCTTTAAATTTCTTGTAAGAATAGAGTAAAATAAACTTATAAAGGTGACATTAATCCGATTTTCAGGTTTAATTCTGAATTTTAAAAAAAATCAACATTTTTCGAGCTTTTTCTTATAACTACAAAATTGAAGATATAAATTTTTCCTTCAAATTAAATTTGTTTCCCATAGTGAGGTTTCATTAAGGTCATGTACATTTTTTTGAAAATTTTAGAAGTTGTCGCGTTTAGAATATTGCGAGCAATTTGTGCAATTTTAAAAAAATTACAAAAACAAGATTTTCTCAGAAACAGCTTATATATTTAAAAAAATGTATTTTTTGAGTACATGTGCTTGAAATAATGTCATGAAAAGTTTCTCGATAACTCAACAGTTTTCTATGAAAACTAGCTCGAAATTCCGTCCTTTCAGAAATGCTCAAACTACATAACTAGCTCAAAATTCCGTCCTTTCAGAAATGCTCAAACTACATTTTCTCAAAAATGTCTCCAAATTTTTTCTTCAAACTTTTCGAACGGATAGTACGAATCACAGTCTTTAATATGACGTAAATTTCATTTCAGGTCTTTTTTTCTTCTTCAAAAATTACACAAATGTAATTTATTAAAAAATTCTCTCACGTCGTTATTATGCAAATTTCCAGCAATTTGTAAGTTTTGTAATGAAGTTTTTCGAAAAGTCAGAAATTTTCTCTGTAGAAGAGCTTCAAATTTCGAATTTACAGTTGCGTGTTGATGCCAGTTCTTTTATAACGGCTTCAAATTTTTCAAAGAAAATTGCCATTTAGGACGAGGTTTTACTGTTCTTTAATATTCTTAAAATTAGTAAAATGAAAAATTTCAAAAAACGTACATAGGGCGCCGGTTGATGGCAGCTGTCAAGAGTATGTGGCAAGTCCGAATATGTAGCCGAGTCCCAAGGAAATAGCAAACAAATGCGGGAACGTCTTTGCCATTCTCTAGTACCACAAGTTTTAATTATTTCTATAATTTCTTTCAATTCAAATTCTAGCAAATGTTCATCTTCTCTCAACTTCTTTCCCAGAATTAATGTGTCAAATGTTACTAAGTTGTTTAACTGAAGGGATCAAGATGCTTGATTTGATTATAAGTGCTTTTAATTAATTAATTAATTAATTAATGTCTTTCTGATAATGATAAATTATGAATATAGATTTGTGTGATACCAAAAGAATGCAAAGCTGTTTGTGGTTCTAAGGTAGCACTAGTGTAAAATCTCCTGGGAGGAGCTTACCTGCCCGGGCTTCCCCCACCGCTGCTGTGGTGGCAGATTTCTTGGCCTCCTGCGCGCGCGCGAATCGTCGCCCTCTCCCTGTTAGTCATTATCACTGTCGCCGCAGTCGTTGCTGTCATCATCAGTGGAACTGTCAGAAAGAAATAATAATCTTGCTTCTTCGTCTATGATCATGTCTGATTTCATATATTCCTCTTCGATTTTCTTCACGTGTTCTCAACATTTCTTCCATTGATCTGGACAATATTCAGAAAATAATGTTCTTCATACACTTTCTTTAACTCGCAGAGGAACACCGATGCTTTCTTCAGCATCACGATTTTAAATTTAACCCCAAACTAATTCGATGAGATTGAGATCGGGATGGTACGGAGGGAGGCAAAGAGGAATGTCCTCGTGTTACATACGTGTTTCGTCTACAATGTGTCTTCAGTGCATCTATTTGCTTAACTTTCTCTAGCAACTGTGCTTTCGTAAAAGATGCATTATAAACGATGTTACTGTCCAACCAGTGACATCTTTTTTCAGAGTACCTGATGTGGGTTTCTAGTTTTTCTCGACACTGTGGTATGATGCATTATCCATAACAATGACACTTGACTTATATACACGCGGAGAGACATTTTGAAGCCTTGTAGAAAATCGTGGTGAATTCCGTTTTCTTTTTTTTTTCGGATTTAATATCTGTCGTCCACAAATCCTTCTTCGCCTCCTTCGTACACAATGATCAGTCTCCCTCCCTTACCCATTTTCTGAGTTACTCCCAGTATCTCATCAGGTTGCCAGCAGGATGCAACAGAATGCGATTCTTGTATGTTCGTTTCGTCAATGTAAAGAATATTCCAGCCGAGTTCACAGTACCTTCTAATTTCAGTAACGAATTGCATGCGCCAAGAAACAATGTGAGGGCGTTCAACGAAACGTTTCCGATTTGATTGACATTTCTTCCATCTAATTCCCTACTTCTGTCAATGTCACCATCTTTCTTTAATGATGCCAGAAATTTCTCAGAAGTGGGGCATTCCTTTTTCACAGTGTAAAAACTACGCACTTTCTGACGAATTGCACCATCAGTAAAATAATTCGCTTCAATTATTTTCTTCCTTGCGGATCTTTTTGCTGTTGGAGTGGAGAATGTCGTCTTACCGCTTGCTGTAGATTATTTTCCTTCGCGAAGAATTGTTTTTACCGTGAAGTCGGGCACCGTGTTGTATATCTACCTGCAATTTAAACTGATGTACCTCTCTTTCTCTCTCACCCCCCCTCTCTCTCACTCTCTCACCCCCTCTCTCTCTCACCCCCCTCTCTCTCACCCCCCTCTCTCCCCCCCCCTCTCTCTCACCCCTCTCCCTCTCCCCCCCTCTCTCTCCCCCCCCCCTCTTTCTCTCTCTGTCGCACGCTCTCTCTCTCTTTCATACTATCACTTGCACTCATTCATTTTTTGTTCTAATGGTCTATTTACTTTTTAGGAGAACGTAAAGTGGAGTGTGGTGTCTGTGGCAAACGCTTTCATCGTAAAGATGTTCTCATGGAACATATGTATAAACATGAGGAAGCACAGGTATGAAAATTTATAAGCATCATATCATTAAGCCATATTATTATTATTATTATTATTATTATTATTATTATTATTATTATTATTATTTATCAGTACAATTCATTCTTCAAATTGCACATGCTGCCTTTTCTGTAGGTTTTCTTGTTGAATCCAATATTTATTATATTTGGGCCCAATAAAGAGTTTTGGAGGTTAAAGTGAGCTTTATGTAGAACTCTCTTTGTAAAAAAGGACAACGAAATATTGAAGGGTCGGAAATCATGAAAATAATTGTATTTTCGGCTTCGGCATGATATAAAATCAAGAAAGAAGTTCTTCTTTTTTTTTTTTTAATTTTACCTGGAGAGATGGCTCAGGGCACCAACTGATGTCACTGCAGTCCCTCTGAACGTTTCCGACCTGCCCGTCTCGACCGGTCGGGAGGTCCCAGGTTCGAGTCCCGACCGGGGCAAGATTTTGGGCACTTGTTAGTCAGCTAGGCTGAATTCAGTCGCTGTCTGGAGGAAAATTCTATCGGCCGGCTGCTCTTATCGGTAGTTTTTAGTGGTTTCTCCGATCAGCACCAGGTGAATGCCGGAGCAGTACCTTAACAAATCGGCCACGGACCACTCGCGATCTTTCCTATCTCTTCCGTGTCCTATCCTCACCCATTTTCGCACACTTACACCAACATTCACTTCTCTACTACACATACCGGCAGATCCGTCGGGAGCTTATTGCTTGTCTCGCCGGGACGGTGTCCCACATTAGGCAAGATACTTGCCTAATGGGTAGTAGCGCCCATTAGGGAGATACTTGGTTAGGGAAAGCCCCGCTAGCCGACGGTAGGTTGATGCCGGATCTCGCTGTATAGCGGGACAAGACCACCGCCACGCACCACACTTAAGAGAATGATGACATGAGTAATTGACGCGTCCGGAATCACAATCAATCAATCAATCAAGCCTTTTTAAATTTTCTTGAAACGTAATTTTTTTCTAAAAATAATTCAATTTTTTTATCGATTTTACTAAAGTTTACGATATTGTTGCATTAAAAAATCCAAGTTAAGGCTGTATGCTGTCAAACTTCACTTGCACGTTTTTTAGAGACTGAAAGGGAAAAATATATGAGTGAGAAAAACGCATAACTGAAATTGATTATTATGAGTGAAATAAAGACTCAATATTTTTACACCATTGTTTCCTCTGTTCTTTAGCAATACCTGCCTTTGTATTCCCACTCTCCCTAACACCTTATACAAATTTTATTTTATCTGATAGTGAAAGGGGGTTGCCTTTTCCTACCTCTCTTTTTCGTTTAATATCGCGGACGCAAAACCAGGTACAAGACTAGCTATACTTCGATTTAAACGTAGAGCCACAAATTACAACTCTGGTCAGCTTGGGAAAAATGTCGGCCGAAGGTCATCATCGAAGAAGTCTCCCCTGAGGTGAAGGTAGCGGACACGCAATGGGGACCTTACTGATGACCTTGTGCGGCTCAGTTTCACTGCGAAGGTCGTGTCCTGCGTGGGCTACAACTCGCGGCGGCGACCCGCGGCTGGTTGCTTCGATTTCAGGCTTGATGTTTCTTGAGGTTCCGTGGGTCAAAGCACGGGTTTCTTCCACGTGGGCGACAGGAGGCGCACGGCCTGGCGACACCCGCTGTGCCGCGCGGAAAAGCGATCAATTCCATTAGCTGCTTGCGCCATGGCGCTGCCGAAAGAATCTCATATGATAATTGCGGCGAGCAAAAGGGCCTTCGGAGAGTGGAACAAACTTCACTCATGGGTCATTACGTCCTTACTCTCTCCCGGGGACGCCTTTGACCTTCCCTCAGAGCATGCCGTCACCTCCTGGGATCCTCGGAGAAATCCTCTGGAAATGTTCGACGCTCCACTTCCGCAGGTGCCCGGGAGCCGACTTTGCCCTACCACCCTGAGGGCTCGCGCGGTCTCGGCCCCTCAGCTAGGCTGAGTCGAGCTTCTATGTTACAAGTTTCATTAGCCAGAGGCCATGCGACAGGCCGCTCCGCGAGAGCACTCTGAAGTGTGCCGACTCGACTAACACGCTAGTTCCGCGCTCTCGGCGCAGGTCGCCCCGCGCCTCACCACGATTATTTGAACGTTATACTGTCTTAAAGGGGCTTTTATTACGAACGTATTAGTGTGAAAAACATATAAATATGAGACGCATTACTGAAATAATTTATCGTGGGAATTATAGGAGTTTATCTGGGACTTACCAAAACACAAAAACGTATTAGTGAGAAACGAATAAACGAAGTTTCACTGTACATAAAGTTTCGTCTAATATTTTTACTTTGCCATATAGGTACGTATATACGGAGTTATATACGTAGTATAGGGAAAATTATGTAATGCTGCGGAAAATCGATTTCGAGGTTTCAATGGAAATACACGTTTTGGGGTTGTATGCGCACCGCGCGTCCGTGTCGTGCGAGCGCGTGCAGACGCGGTCCTCACCTGGTACCGACCTCTCACACGGCGCCACGCGCGATGATAAGCAAACAGCGTGGACTGTACTGTTGGCTATAGGCGCGCACAGCACACACACATATCGGCCTCCGGTAGCTCACGCGATGTAGCCAGAGGGCTATTAAAATACGAACGACCACCTCATAAGAGGAAATAAAGGATCGGCCGAATGATGAATGACAAAGCGATATTAGTTTAAATATTAATTTAATTAATGAAGATAAATGAGAATGCTTCTTGGATTAAAGTGTAAACTTACAATCTAAGATAGGACATGAACACAAAACAATTATAAACCTACAACATACAATGCGTGCCGGGCCCGAGTGGTGAATTACTAATAATAGAAAACTAAATCTACAACTTAATCAGGTGATTTACAAATATCAATTTATAAATGAATTGTCACAAAGTGACTTAGTGATCCAAAATCCAATGAATGATCCTTAATGATGAAGAGGAACAGTTCAATCCGACTAATGCCGATTTATGTTCTGTTGCTTAATATGAGCTTGAGCAGCTTGGCTCGGCACTTCGGAGGCAGAAACAGGTACCTGCTATTGAAGACGTTGAGCTCGCCCCAATTGTCGCCGGGGCATGGCACTCGCTGCGCGGAGGTCGCTGAGCACGCACAAAGCGCCTCTGAGCGAACGCTGCAGGCTCCCCGACACGACGACCAGGCAGTGCGCGCTGCCATGGTCCAATTCATATGATGTGGGCAGCTTCAGCCCTAAGAAATGCCTAGATGGGTGGCCCTAGCCCCGACCATCGGCGATGTGGGCAGCCTGCGGCCCTGAGTGCTATACCTTGCCCCGCTTACATGTCTAAATCTGAATCTGAATCTGCTGGGCGCGGTGATGCACACAAATATATAGAACCAGCCCCTCCCTGCCGCGGGGGTGGCTACCGCGAGGCGTGGCTGAGGGGGCTGATCTAAAGTGGAAGAGGGCACTCTGGGCCACCGCGGGAAGGGCTGCCGAGGCCTGTAAGACAACGGGCGGACCGCGCGATGCAGCCGAGCCGCTGGCCGGGGGTAGCTGCAATTCGCGGAACGCTCAAATGAGCTGCGGTAAGCCGCACTTACCAAACAAGTGTTTTGAAAGAATCCGCGCCGCGCCTAAGAGGCGCTGGGTTTCAAAGGTATAGATCAGCGGATGACAATGGCCTCCTTAAGCAAAGGGAAAGGGTAGACGCCGGGAAAAAGCGGATGACGTGTCCCGGAGGCCGGGCAGTGAGGGGGGGGGGCGGTTGTAAGCTAGGAGCGTGCGTGAACAGGGGTCCCCAGTTACGGAAAAAAAGGTATTTCAAAACGTCCGTCCGACTGTCGGCTTCCGAACACCGCAAGCGCCTAAACCATACGTACAATTTTTTCCAAAATTGATATTCTCTGGTCGATCTGGCACCACTTCTTCAAATTTTGGGGGTACGTTACACGAAGCACTCCAGACATTTTCAAAATTTTCTCAAAAACGGTTCTACTTTATTCTTTAAATTTCTTGTAAGAATAGACTAAAGTGCACTTGTAAATGTGGCATAAATCAGATTTTCATGGTTTTCTCTGAATTTTCTAAAATTACAAAAGTTTGAATTTTTTCGAGACTTGCAAGAATTACAAAATGAAGAAAGAGATTTTTCCTTCTCCCTTATAAAATTTGTTGTTTTTAGTGAGTTCTTTCATTGAAGTCATGTACATTTTTTAAAACTTTTTAGTAGTTTTGTTGCAATATCGCGAGCACTATGTGCAACTTCAAACATTTCAGAAACAAGTTTTTCTCAAAAACCGATCCAAATTATTTCTTTAAACTTTTGTCAAGGTTAGTGCAAAACGTACTCTATAATATGACATAAACGCCATATTGTTCTTTTTTTTCACAAATTACAAAAATGTAGTTTTTTTGACATCTAATACGTCGTTAATATTTAAATTAGCGGCAATTTCTTAACATTAATGTATTTTTTTCTACATTAATGTAAGTTCAAATAATGCCATATAAAGTTTGTCGATGACTGTAGTTTTCTTTGAAAATTTCAAAATTCCGCCCTTTCAGAAATGCTCAAACTCTTCATTTTCTCAAAAATGGCTCCATTTTTTCTTACTTTTCGAACAGATAGTGCTAATTACACTCTTTTATGTGATGGATGTAAATTTCATTTCGGGAAAGACAAATAAATTTCAAAAGTTTTTTGTCTTTTCAAAAATTATACAAATGTAATTTCTTTACTAAATCTCTCACGCTGTTATTATGCAAATTTCCAGCAATTTGTAAACAATATTCTATTTGTGAGTGAGTTAGTGTTCTAATTAAGTTTTTCAAAAAGTCAAAAATTTTCTGTGAACTTCAAATTTTGAATTTACAGTAGCACTTAAATGCCAGTTTTTTAAAAATGGCGCCAAATTTTTCAAAGGAAATTGCCATTTAAGATGAGGTTTTACTGTTCTTAAATATTCTTAAAATATTTCCGTTCTACTATTACAAAATCGAAAAATTGAGAAAATTTAAAAAGAATGTACTTTCGGGGTGATAGAGGGCAGCTGGCAAGACTTTGTGGCAAGTCCGAATATCTATCTGACACCAAAGGAAATAGATAACTAATATGGGGAAGTCTGTGCCATTCAGTATCACCACTAGTTTATCTTGTAGTTTAGACAGAATTTATCTACCTGAAGAAGTAAAACATGGCGATGCCCTAGGATCCTTTTAATGTGAAAATGGCATTTTTTACGTAAGCTATTTGCAATTTCCTGGCAAACATATTATCTAAAGGAAGTTTGGTTTTTACCAGGGTATTTATCATTATTTTCACTGTTAGCTGTGAATTTCCAAAAGTATCAACATTGGCATTTTTCCGGCTTTCTTCTACTATTAAAAAATTTCTGTTTCTCGCTCAAGAAATACCTTCTTTCTCTTTATATGAAAGGAGCGTAGCGAAATTTGCGTGGTCAGACGGAAGAGCGGGCCTGATGGCCCGAGTCTCGCCACGTAAAATAAGGCATATTCAATTCAATTCAATTCAATATTCAAGACATTTTTCTTTAAAGTAAAATTGCAGGTCGGTGCGGAATGTTAGTATGTATTGTAGCTTGGAGCTGAATGTAGTAAAATCGTTGAAAAATTGAATTAATTTTAGATAAAAAATAATGTTCCAAAAAAATAAAAGTAAATTTTAAAATTCATGCTAAATCAGTAAATATAATTATTTTTATGATTTCCGGCCCTTCGATATGATTTGACCCTTTGATGGCTGATTATCAAAGAATGTCCCATATGTTGTTGCAACAATATCAAATATCACGTTGGATTTTTTTCAAAAACATTCATGATTAGGACCACAAAATATATTTTCTGTGAATGTGTGAAGTGCTCAATTTAAATAATTTGTATTATTTATGAAATTCAATGACTAGGGTGAATTTTTTAATTAAATGTTGTAAGCTTGTACCAAATAAATATAGAGATAACAGTGATTACATAATATCATTTTTCAGATAATTTGGGTATTTCTTACACAATTCATCATCACAGAAAATATATTCTACTCCTACATAACAAACAAATAATTTTATACTCGTACGTATTTAAGTATATGCTGAACAAGGTTACACTTCTATTAACTGTACATTCTGTACACATAAATATTACTTTTCAATCTCTCACATTTCAGTCATGTCTGATTTAATGATGTCTCATAATGTCTTGTTAATGTTGAACAATTGTCTTTTCATCTTCGTTTGTCATATTTAACTGTTATGATTAGACAGTAATAGCATGATAATTATAAACATGCAGACTGTGGGATGTGTACGAAGTTATTTTGGCAGTGTTTAATCACTACGTGACATTACATATACGATTATTTAAAACAAAGTTCTCTTACAAAAACAGTTTTTTATAGTGTTTGTGTTTTTTTGTGTTTGCAGTTGCGATGCACCATCTGCAACAAATTATTGAAGTCAAAAAAGTCTTTGGATGCTCATATACGTCAACAACACAGTAATCAAAAGCAATTTATCTGTTCGCAATGCGGCAAGGTAAGATTATTCATATTCAGGTAGTTTTCTCAGAAGTTTTACCTTGAAAACTTTCCATCCTTGCTCTAATAAAATTAGAAGAAGACACCCATTCACTCGTTTATTATGAGTCATATATCTATATATCTATATCTATCTATCTATCTATCTATCTATCTATCTATCTATATATATCTATATATATATATATATATTTCAGATTATATGTATGAATTATGTAATTAAATGGTTGAAAAAGGTCAGACCACTGTACAACATTTCAAAAAGCCCACGTGGCTTACTTTCAAAATCCTTTTCTTTAAACAAACAATAATGTAGATTTTAATCACAGAATAATGCATTTACAAGTTAATGTGGCTGTCCTGTCACGCCTCTGTCTTTATTACTATTATTTCTTTACCTGATTTATGTATTTCCTTGCTATCCAAGCTCTCTGTTTATTACAAATATTAAAGTAATAATACTTGCCGTAGAAGCAGCGTTGTCACTGGAAAATTTATAATGGGTCATGGGACTGAAGTTTCTGCCTGTACAGGATAGAGAAAATGATATTTCTCATTATCTATTGGTAATGTGCAGGGAAAATATCTTTGTTTATGACTCAAATGAGCACAAATACAGTACAAATAAACACAAATAAGCACAAATAAGCATTGTTCAATATACATTCAGCATTGTATTCACTCTCCTCAGAAGAGATGAAAACTTGCCAACACATGCCACACCTTGTTATCGGCTTGCCATCTATCATCCCTCTTGCATCTTCTCCAGTCTGTCTAGTCTTTTGATTGGTTTTTCAACAAAACAAAAATGCTTGCTTTCCTGTGTCACCAAGATCTTTTGGAACATTTCATATTTTCGTTACCTCTATTCTGATTTGGCACTTTTCAGAGTTCTGAAAATTTTGCCTTTTAATTTGCTGCATTACCCAAAGATCATTACCCTCTGGTTCACTTGCTTTGCCGAAATTCCAACTTATTTTGAGAACTACTTACATCAATCGCCTATATTCAATTGTCTTTCTGTGTAAGTATCTTTCTGCCTTTTAAGTTTTCCTTCTGAATTTTTGTGCCGTTTCGAAATGCTTCCCGATGATTCTTAAAATTGTTTATTTTCCTAATACTTGTCTACTAGTTCGAAAGTTCCCCTGTTATTTAATGAGAATATAAAATTTTGTTCTGTGTTCCCATTGTCACTTGTTTCTTCTTCTACCTACTATTATTTTCCTAAACCTGAACCAACTCTTTGCTGTTGCCTCAAACTCGAGGTACGCGTATCGATCTTGCTCTATGCTGCCCTTTTCTTGCCACCGTTGCGCAATGGTCCATTCTAGATTACCTATACGGAAGCGACCATTACCCCGCTATTGCCACATTGGTTGACTTACTTTTGGGTTGGCACGCCCCCTCAGTGGTGTGTCAAACGCACTGACTGGCTGAAATTCCAAGAGAATGTCAATCCATCAGAGGGCGAGTAGTTGTCTGTGTAGAGGAAAGAATGGCAGCTCATTTTAACAGTGCTGTATTGCAATTTCCAAGTCAAACGGTAAACCGCGACACCCCTTTGTCCTGTGGTAGAACTCTAGTCTGCTTAAGGGCGGCCGGTGCTCGTAAGAAAGCATTGACGCGTCTGAAACACTATCCAAACGCGGATAACCTAATTGATTTCAAGAGGTGCAGAGCGAAGGCGAGGAGAACCATTCTAGAGAGTAAAAATTCATCGTGGAATGCATACGTCTCATCTCTCAATTGTCATGTGCCACCACGTCTGGAATGGAGGAAAATACGTCAAATTAATAGATATTATTTCCCAAACTCAGTGCCAGGTATTCTTAAAAATTGTCAGATGATTACAGCTCCATACGCCATTGTAGAGGAACTACCGTTCATTATGAAGTATGACGAGTTCGGCGCACTATGCTCCAAATATTCATTTGATTGAAGAAATAATGTAAAACCGTGCTTTAGGTTTTTCGAGCAGAGTGCATGAGCATGATTACAATATCCCATTCTCCATGTATGAAATGCGGTGATACTTGCCAAAAGAACCGCACCAGGTCCAGACGAAATCCAGTTAATGGTGCAACCTCTTCCCGAAACGTTGCAACTTCTCCCCCGGCTCTATAACCGTATCTGGGAAGATCACACTATCACCCCTCTGTGGCGAGAAACAATCGTCCAGTTCCCAACGAAGGGAAAAATCGATCATTGTCTTCAAGCTATCGACCTATTTCTCTCACAAGCTGTGTATGCGAAGTGCTGGAACGCATGGTGTAACACTTGAGAGCGTAGGCTTCCGCGGCCGGAGTCAGTATTTACTAGGCTGAGGAAAGTCGAATTGAGTCGCGTGAGGAATTACGTACATCAACCATTTCCACGTGGAGCATGTGTGATATGGTTAGCATTTCACGCCTATTTTTCCATTTACAAACTACTGCCTCTCCTCTTCTGTTCCAAATAACTTCACCTTTTTTCGACTTTTTTATTACTGTAAGTTTTGGGCTCCTTTTTCTATTCGCGCATTGTCTAAATAGACATCCATTAGGTGTAGAACTACCTGAGTTGCGTGACCAGTCTCTTTGTCAGTCTTCTCAGATTTCCCGCAGTAAATGCGTAAAAGATCAATAACATTTGATTCACATGACTTATATAACTTGATACCATTCTTGTGTTTTTTATTTAGGATATTGTGTCGTCATGGATACTCACAGCGACCACAGACACAGAGCTTTCGTATAACAAATATATTTATCCTATACGGCCCCAAAGATGCCATGAGGCACGTTATACTGCTAACCGTATCGATCGTTACCATGTAGGCCGGTATACATTCGCGGAATAATTTGAGATAAATGAATGTTTTGCCGTCGACTGCACGAGTACCCAATTTATAGAACTGAATTTTTTCTTATGCAGGAGAACAAACATCCCCGACACAACATTAATGAAATAAACAATTAAAGGAAACGTCACGCACAATGTAACATTAAACTCGTGATGAACCGTTTCTTGGCAGAGGTGCGGAGTATGAACTTTAACCATGTCTCATTCGTTTTACATTCTAGGCAAAAAACTCCCTAGTCGGTTTTTCTTCTACATATTATCACATAACATAATACCACAAATTAATTACAACATATACAACTAAATAATCCCCTAAAAACTCTAACCCCGTAAATTTACGTTACGGTTTACACCTTACATTTATGTGCAACATTTAAAATCTGCCCCAGTGGTAAAAACTCCAGTGTTACAGATGTCATATACAAATTTTACGTGCGTACCACATGTAACACAATTAAATTATTTACACATCGTACAAGAATGGCTAAATTTCTACAAACAAAAACTATATTTTGACAAACCCAACCGGACCCGCTAAACTTATCACCGCTATAAATTTAAATAAACTCCAATCATATCACCGAGCCCTGAATTTCAAACTAAGACCCCAATTGTACAGTTGAAACAACAAAATTAGAGGCCGATATAAACAACAAAACATATCCCGACAATACCAAAACATATGAAAAATACAGACTTAATTCAAAAAAAGACAACTTGTACATATGTATACAATATTTTTTCCTTTTAGATTCAGCATAACAATTGCAATTCATAGTGATCCAACATCAGATGGTAGCAACCTCCGCATTGCTCAGGTTACTAAATTGGTGTCCCCAGGTAATACCAGAATGTCGTCCATATCGAATTGTAAAACATCCTAAGCTTAATTAGGAGACAAAATCTTGGGCGGCGTTAACGTGCGTGATTTTCCCTTTCTTGTGAATAATTTCAAATCGTAAGTAAGGCAAATTTGTCTCGATCTGGATATTAAATGGGAAGTGACCATCGCTGAGAGTTAACCTCTAGGCCCCATTATTTACTTGAGCACCATGAATTGGGTCATAGTGTACATGCAACCTCACGATAAGTTTCGGGAAAGAGCCAGGCCCACACGTAAGCTCCGTAAGTTGATATCCAATACATGTGATAATCATGATAATTTTTGCCAAACGCATGCCCTGATTTTTTAACGAAAAGTCGCCAGTTATCCGGCATTGCCGCATAGTGGTACTTAATAACCACTAACCGGGGTGGTCTTTGTTTCGATCAGTTTGGCCTGCCGGACCTTTTTGACTCACATTCGCAAGATTTTCACATAGACGAGTGTAGCCATATCGGCATGGGAATTAGAAAAACAATCACGACGCCAATCCAAAAAAAATATAGATCAAAATTGTGGTTTATTCGCGATTGGCCATACCCACTGGGGCTTTCGCATTTTAAGTGTACCGCCTAAGTGCCGTCCATCGCGGTGCATCCGTGAAAACACACTTCCGTTATATAATCAGACGATCTGGGCTGCCCGATATTGAGTGGGACCACTAACATGTTTTAAACATTTTCGAACGCGCTGGGCGGGCTTTGCTGAGGCATCTCTAATGCGTGAGGCCACCTGTAGGACCACAAACAAGAAACTAATTGATACAAAATTCTGTTTGGTTAGCAACGAAACATGTGCGGATCAACCTTTGTGACGAAGTCAGAAAAGAAGGCAAGGTCTCTGCAACGCCCTAGGTCTTCTTGGCTGGATCCCACAGATGAACTCATAGGATGTAGGTGTCATATAATACTTTAATCTCCCTGTCACTTTGTTGTGACTCGGCAATCTCATTCTGGCTACCATTTATGAGTTCATTCGGGCTTTAGACGGCGGTGATTCGAGTACACGGCCACTGCACTTCATCCCTTTCACGAATAGCTTCCTTTCGGCGGGGACTTCCGCGCCTCGAGTTGCTGGCGGAAGGTGGATCGAGGTACGTTCTACCTGACCGACACGACCTCAAATTACCGTCCTATTACCGTCCCGATTAGTCTCCCTTCGGCGCCGCTCGCCCCGCCGTGGGGCCGCACCTCCCGCCTCAACGGCTCAACTGGCGCCGTTTCAAGCGGCCTTCCCCGAGATGACCGAGTAATTAACCGCATTCCACAGAAACC